CGCTTGGGAACCCTGCAGCCCAATGGTATCAATGTGGATTTCACAAGTTTCAAAATCTCCCCTCCCCCTACCGCATCCCAAAACCAGTCCAGCTCGTCCCTGCCTCCCTAACCTGTTCTTCCTCCCACCTGTCCCCTCCTCCCACCTCAAACCGCACCTCCATCTCCTACCGACCAACCTCATCCCGCCCCCTTGACCTGTCCGTCCTCCCTGGACTGACCTGTCCCCTTCCTAACTCCCTACCTACACTCACCTTTACTGGCTCCATCCCCGTCTCTTCGACCTGTTTGTTTCCTCTCCACCTATCCTCTCCTCTATCCCTCTTCTATCCGCCTCCCACTCTCTCCCTATTTATTTCAAAACCCCCTTCCCCTCCCCCTTTTCTGATGAAGGGTCTAGGCCCGAAACGTCAGCCTCTCTGCTCCTATGATGCTGCTTGGCCTGTTGTGTTCATCCAGCCCTGCACCTTGTTGTCTCGGATTCTCCAGCATCTGCAGTTCCTACTATCTCTGATGCAATGCCTGGCGCTTGCCTTTAAAATAAGAAAAAGTTTGGGTCTAGGTTGTTTTCTTAATATATTTTGTGGGTTTAGTCTGGCCCATAACAAGAGACAGTGCAGATCTAAGGATACCTGTTTCCTGACCACATCGTAAGTAAATCCTGAGCAGGTTAGTGGTATGAAACAAGCCCCTTGCTTCTTTCACACAGTAAGTTGGATGTTCTTAAGATTTACAAAGCTAACATATTGCTCACTCTGCAAGGTTCTGGTGTCCATAATGTTATATAATATTGTATATTGCAACATGCAATAATACAATATTGCATTGGAGAGGCTGCAACGAAAGGATTCTTAAGGATGATGTATAAGAATGTATATTTATCAGGAAAACTGCCCAGACTGGAGTTCTTTTCTCTGGAAAGGATGGGCAAACTGATAGAAGGCTTTATAATATATAAATGCTTGGAACGGTCTGGTCAAAGGTGAGAAAGCTGGGAAACTATGATGTAAGTCAAGAAATCAGGACCCGAGATGATTCTTTTCCAATTTTCTACTTAAGTTCTTGTCATTTCCAATCATTTGCACCTCCTTTAATAGTCCAGCTCACCTCACTTCAATGCCATTTCCAATTCTCATGACCTTTCCAGAGAAACTGGTTGGACCAAATCCCTGACATGTACATCAGAATGAGTATCTGATGTCTACAGCTAGCCGTCTGTCATCCATCTCCATTTTCACTGTAATGCCCCTGCCTGCACTATGGACATTATCCTCCCTGACTGTTCGACCACAGAAGTTGGCATAGGCAAACTACCAGCCTTACCATCATCATTGCCACTTCAGCACTTCAGCACACTTCTTCAGGAACACCTACAACTTGCAAGTTCTGCCAAGTTGCTTTTCAAGCAGGAATACCCATGCATCTATGCCAAATGCACCTTGTGGATTTTAGCTTGCTTTCATCACTCTCAGTCACTTTGGAATTAATTAGAGCCTCTGTATCTCGCATTGGTTTTTCTTACAAAGGGAAAGGTTGTCAGCTTGTCAAGGTGAAGGGCACTAAACAATCATAGGGGTGGACGTGTCACAGTACAGCACTGGGCTCTGTCAGTATCACGTCACCGCATGCACTATAGCTTATGTGGCAAAAACATTGCATGTGCTTCTAGCAAGCAGCCACGTCTGAAAGTCAAAGGGGAACAGCCTTCAAGAACGGGGTCGAGAACGACTACAGTCAGTCATAAAGCTTGTGTGGTTTCATTCCAGTGAATTGGCCACAGTCAGTCAAGCACTAAGTCCTACTAGAGTCCTGCGGAAAGTGGGCAACTCAACTTTGAGGAAGGGCATCATTGATCACAGAGGCAATAGTGACCAGTGAAAAGGGGACAATTTGAGATAGCAGGGTGGGATCTCATAGAACACAGACAAGGGCACAGATCTCCAGGACTATCACACTGGCCTCTACATGAGGAGAGTGTCAGGCCAACAGGGTATGGCAATTCAGAAAGTCACAGCCTGTTGGAGTAAATTGGGGGCATTGATAGTTACCTAAAAGTGGTGATGGGAGTGGGGAGGGTTGATGGAAACAGGAGGACGCCAAAAGCTTATGGAGTCACTGGGCCAGTGAAGATGCAGTTGGATTCATCATACAGCCACTGCTCCCTGTTTTGCCATCCATCTAACTTTAAATTGCACTCCATGGCGGCTCGGACATTGTCCAAGAATGCATGTTAAGAGTTATGTCCTTGAGCAATCATGACCGTGACGTTGTGCAAACCTTGTGCCTCAGTAACTGTAATTAGGTAAACTATGTTAAAAGTGTCACCAAACTTGGCATCTCACAAACACATTCCATAGCTATCACCAGAAGCCAACATGTCATCGTCACCACATTCACACACTGAACTGTAAGTATGCCAAGAGCATGATCTGTGATGAGGAAAGTGTGAAGCCAAAAATGATGGTTTCCCACCAGAATTCAAATTCCTCAATGGAACATGAACATTTTGGTCGAACAATGTATATTTAGGTTCAGTTGTACGCGTTAGGGTTCCCTTTAGAGGCATGACATTGATCTATTTGGGAAGCCTCCTTGACTCACAATGCTATGATATATCATGAGACTCCATTAGGTTGGATTTGAGGGCTCAGGAACTCCTTTAATGAAGCTGTGTTCTCTTGCTGACATTCCTCACAGATTATCTGCTTATACATTTCACATGTATATGGCCTGTGATGGTTCAATGCCTTCTTCCTCAGAGAAGAAGAGCTGAGGGCTTGTAGCATTGGCCCTTTCTGGCCTGAGTGCTGCCACAGCCTGAATATGACATCAGTAACTATTAGTTATCTAAGAAGGATAAAATATTGTCCAGTTTAAGAAGGACTTTGTGTTGGTAGTAGTGGGAGAGCAGTTCAGCACAGCACAGTGAAGCACATTGGGTTAGTTACTGAGATCTCCCCATTCCCAATGAGTGGCTGTGTTTGTCTCTGGCCAATTCGAAAATGTCTACTGTGTTGTGATGAGTCTGCCATGTGGCACAACCCCATCAGGCTTGTCTCCAGCACAGGACTATTTTTCCTGCATTGAAACAATGAGAGGGATTGAATCCGATGGATTTAATCCAGAGACCCAGCCAATGTTCTAGGGAGCTGGACTCAAATCCCGCCATGGCAGATGGTGGAATTTAAATTGAAAAAGTTTCTGGAATTAAGAGCATACCAATGACCATGCGTCCATTGTTGATTGTTGGAAAAAACCCATCTGGTTCACTAATGACCTTTAGGGAAGGAAATTGCCATCTTTACCTGGTTTGGTCTACATGTGACTCCAGACTCAGCAATGTGGTTGACTCGTAACTGCCGTCTGGGCAAGTAGGGATGGGGAATAAATTCTGGCCTAGCTAGTGACGCCCTCATCCCATGAATGAATAATTAAAAAAACAGCAGTTAGCGGTGATGCAGAAACGAGGTGTTGCCAGTGAGTGAGTGGGAAGCACAGAAGGCAGGAAAGGTTCATTGTTTGAAAGGATGTGGTGAGTGTGAGCCTTTGAATGCACATGATGCATGCAGTAGTGGGGGTTGCAGTGTTCCGGTGGGGTGTGTGCAGTAGCACAGTTAGACTGAGTGGTGGCGCTGTGAGTGAGAAGTAGCAGAGAGAAGATGGTAGAACTTACGCTTGTGGAACACAGATCATTAACCTTTCTCCTGTACTGCTGTGCATTTAATTTAGCCCGGAAAACCGAACTGACACAGGCCACGATGTGTATCCAGGTTGGCACACTTGGGTAGTGTGGTCTCCTTTGACAGCCCACAGAAAGAATGACTATCCTCCTCTCCACAACCTTGTCCACCAGTGTCTCTGGGTCCACGGTCAGCAAAGCGGGGAGCTAGCCTGCCTTTCTCGGCCATAATCCCAGCGATGATGTTCAAGCACCGCAGAGAGAGGGGCAGCTCCTTATTCGCGTTGTCTGAAGTGATACACAGCCAGGGTTTAAAAATGACAGTGTTGGCACGCACGCTGGAAGGTTTTGGCAGCGCCAAGCACCTCTGCCTCTCCGGCTGTGTGATTCCTCGAGAAAGATACCAAGGCGTCAGCATCGGCAGTTTTTGCTATCGCCAAGGAGTCTGGTTGCCTGTGAACGAGGTGAACAGCAGATGATTGTGTGTGGAAAGTTGCTCCATGACAGGAAGGACCAGGCGCCATGAACCTCCTTAACGTTTTGACTGAAATAGGGAAATTCCACCCCAAGAGACTGGGTGTCTAAAGCTAGAGGTCATAAATATAAAATAGTACTAAATCCAGAGCTGACCAGGGGTCAAGACTCATCTGCTCATGTCCAAACAAGTTTGTTAAAATAGCAGCAGATCGATGTTCTTTTATTCCTTGGCTTGGAGGGGATCTTGCAGATGATACTGCTCACATGTATCTGTTGCTGAATAACACACACTGCTGCCACTGTGATAAACACAGCAAATGCTGATGATGGAAGGGGTATCAGTCAAGTGGGTTGCTATAACCTGGATGGTATCAAGCATTTTGTGTATGCTTGGAATTGGACGAAGACAAGTGGAGTAAATACTATCAGACTGCGGACTTGTGCTTTGTTGATGGTGGACAGATTGAAGGTCAGAAGGTGATTTATCACTGCAGAATTCCCAGCCTCTGACCTACCCTTGTAAACACAGTATTTAAATAGCTGTCCAGTTTCTTTACAGGTCAAGACTGAAGCCAAAGATACTGGGGATTCAGTGATAATAATGGCATAAAATGTTAACGGAAATGGTTAGTTTCTGTCTTGTTAGAGATGATTATTACCTGGTACTTGTGTGGCATGAATGTCACTTGCTACTTGACAGCCAAAGATTGAGTGTTGCTCAGGTCTTTACATCTGCAGACATGGACTGCTGCAGCATCTGGGGAGTTGTCAAAGCTGCAGAACATTGTAAAATCATCAGCGAATATCCACAAACCTGACTTTCTGGAGGGATGCTCATTCCTAAAGCAAGCATAGGACACTACCCTGAGTGTGTGATGGGGTCAGGTTACATACTGCGTATTTAATTTTTTACCACTTCCTCAATTCTCACTCACCCATGATGAGACTAATATCAAGGTCAAAGTAATTTGATCAACTAACCTGGAATCTTCTGGTCAGTACAGTTCATGTTACACAAGATAGTGTATAGTTTTGGAGAAACTACAAAGAATACACTTCTTTACCTCTTTGAATCCATGGGCTGAGCTGTTACATCTATTGTGGTAACATTAGTTCTTTTATAATTTATAGATCTGGTTCTACACAAGCAGCATCTTCAAAGAGTCTGGCATCAGTGACGATCATATCCCATACATCACTCTGAGCACCGGTGCCATTGAGATCACTGCTGCAATTATTTCTGTAAGTAAAATTTATACTGTTCAATCTACAAAGCTTTGACCAAAAATTGTCAGGATTAGCTACTGTCTTTAAAAAGGCAATGTTTATCTGCCTGTCTTATTTTGTCAAGGGTAGTTTGAATTTGTGCCATGAGTGGAATGCAGTCAGCAGCAGATTTTAAAACTAGCTCTTCAATTAATTTGTCAGGTCCTTATAAACACAGTAGAGCAGAATGAGCTGCACCTCCTTTTAAAAGAAAGATCAGACTTTCCAAGGAGTGGCCATCTCAGGGATTCTGGCCATTTTTTAAAAAACTAACAAAGGGAGCACTGTATTTCTGAGAGGAGATCCCATTCAGTTTTCCCTCAGAATCACGGAGCTGTACTTCCATTCTGTTCCATCCAGAGGAAGGCAAACTGTAGAATCCCTACAGTGTGGAAAGAGACCATTCAGTCCAGCGGGTCTGCACTGATCCTCCAAAGCGCATCCCCAGACCCCCTTCTCATCAGCTGCCCTATTCTGATAGGGAGAAACAGAGATGGTTGTTGGAGGGTAAAGTGGGAGGGTCACAAGCAGAGCAAGAGTAGAGGGGCCAGGTCATAGAATCATAGAATCCCTACAATGTGGAAGTAGGCCACTCAGCCAATCGAATCCATACTGACCCTCCAAAGACCACCCTACCCAGACCCACCCCCCCGACCCTATCCCTGTAACCCTGCTTTTCCCATGGGGTAATTCATGGGAGGAATCAAACCTGGATCCCTGGTGCTGAGAGGCAGCAGTGCTAACCACTGAGCCACCATGCCACCCTTGGCAGGTCCGTGGAAGGAGGGGATGGAGATGGGCATGAAGAGGCTGTCAGGTGCAGAGCTGAGAAAGGTTGTCGGGTGGGGTGGGGGGTGCGGGTGTTTCATATCCTGGTGTTTGATTCAAGGGTCCCATATGGAGCAGCAGAAGGGACTCAGTGTCAGGACTGGAGCAGGAGAAGAACAGTGATGGATCCAATGGGGTCTCAGCTCCAAGGCTGTTACAGCCCTAGGATATCAGGTCAGGGTCTGGGGAAGGTACAGACTGGGAGGAGGGATGTGAGGTAACTAGGGGGTCTTTTCAATAACTACTGAAGGATTAGGGCAGATATTTAATAGTCGAACTGCTGCTGAATAGCTATTTATGTAATTTACTTGGAGCCCATCAAATCCTCCAAATTAAATGGACACTTCTGGAGGATTCTGGGTGTAAGGAATTACCAGTGAAATCTTCAATTTCCCAGGTTATTCTTTATTTAAATGGGGAAAAACTGCAGAAAACTGCAACACAAAGGGAAACACAGTAAGCTAGCACACAAGGCCAGTGGGTAAACAGGAAGGCTAATGGAGTGTTGACCCTTATTTCAAGCGGCTTTGAGAATAAGAGTAGGGAAGTATCACTGCAATTGAATAAGGTGCTGGTGAGACTGAATCTGGAATACTGTGAGCAATTTTGGTCCCCTGATTTAAGGAAAGATATTACAAGAGTAATTGATCAATTGGCACACTCTTGATGCCATATGTGCCGGTTAATAAAAGGTTTGTTGGATTTCATTGGAAATAGTTCAGAGAAGGTTCACAATGGTGATCCGTGGTATGGAGGGATTGCCTTAGAAGCAAAGGTTAAACAACTCGGGACTCTACTTACTGGAATTTAGAAAAATGAGAGGCGATCTCATTGAAACATGTAATATTCTTAAGGGGCTTGACAGGGTAAATGCTGAGAGGATGTTTTCCCTCATGAGAGAATGTAGGACCAAAAGGCCTAATCTCAGAATAAAGAGGTGCTAATTTAAGGAGGAATTTCTTCAAGCAGAGGGTTGAGAAGCTTTGGAATCCCTAGCCACAGAGAGCTGTAGGGGGAGAGTCCATGTGTTTATTTAGGGCTGAGATAGATAGATTCTTTGATCAGTCAGGAATCCAGGGTTACAGGGAAAGCGGATGTGAAGAATGTTGGATCAGTCATGATCCTACTGAGTACCAGAGCAGGCTTAAGTGGCCAAACGGTCTTACTGCTGTTTCTATTCATTGTGGTCTGATGGTAACTCTCTTATTGAGCTACAGTAACAAGTGACTGTCAGCAAATTCGATCTGAAGCTTCGTTGAGTTGCTGCTGCAGAGCAAACCTTGTTACATTTCCTTTTTCTTACACTTTGCAAGCGAGGTCTATTGTTCATTAACTTTCTGAATGGTGTTCAGTCAAACGCAGCTTTCATCAATCTGATCAAAATCTAGAAATCTCCAGAGTGTAACAGTCTCTGGCTGTGCTTTTGGAAGAATTGCTTTATTCTGGACCATGAGACTCCGAGTATAAACCCTTGTATAACAGTTACCAACTGCAGATGTTGACTGCACAGTAATTCATATAAGTAGAAAACTAAGAATGTGTGGGGAATAATTGATCTCATTCCATATCAGGCTCAAGGCCATTGTTGCAATGACCTATGCAAAGCAACATATTATTACTTGCCATTTCTTATGGTGGCCAGGTTGATTTTTTTTTTGTTCATGGCTATAATTAAGGACTGTAAGTGAAGTAGGACCTGGTTCTTGAACTTTAGGACATAGCCAGCCCAGAACAAAGCTAAATTTGTATTTTTCAGCTGTGGGTACAAGTCTCAGAACGTGGCAGAACTTGCAAGATGTACGTGGGCGTGGGATAGGAGGAAAGTATCCAGCAAGGGACAGTTCTGAAAAGGATATATTTCAAAAGGCTCAGCATGCTGTTCTACTTACTCTTGTGTCAGGTTGTCTGTACTGTGAATGTTTGTTGGGTTAGGACACATGCTGTTATTCTGCAGTAGGAAATACAAACAACATGATCAGTAGGACACAAACAGTATCGTGGTTAAGATTAATACTGACAACGACATACTGTATAATGTGTGACATGGAAAGCATTAACTTGTTATCTAGTCTAGTGATAAAATAACATGATGCAGATAATGATTTTCTTTTTATTTAGCATGCCTTGAACAAATAAATAATAGCTTGCACAAAACAGCAAAATATTTCTTGTTAAAAGCTAATATTTCTCCTTCAGACACTTGTTCGTTTAATGATTTTGAAAGTCCTCATTTCCATCAGAAAGGAATTTGCTTTTAACTTTAACAACAGAGTTCTCAGGATTGGGAGCCTCCATAAAGCTTGGTTCGGTCATACTCGAGCCCTTGCTAGTTTGTAAATTGGAGAGGCTCAAAGAATATATGTCTGTCAAATTATACAGTGGAGGGTAATAATGGAGAAAAGCTTTCCCTGGTGAAACATAATGGTTGAGCAGTCATACGGAACCTTTGACTAAAGCTGATTTCTGACCTGACAAATTCAGTTGTGCACATACATAACATGTTGTACAGGATCTGAGGAATTTAGTTGTGAATAAATAGTTGCAGAATTGTGGTCACATTGATTCTGCTCATGTGTCCAAGCTTTAAGTCACATTAATTTTCCCCAGTTGGAGGAATTAATGCGAGACTATTAATCCAGAAACCCAACTAATGTTCTGAGGACCTGGGTTTGAATACCACCACGGCAGATGGTGAAATTTGAATTCAATAATTAGGAAAAAAAGTCTGGAATTAAAAATCTACTGATCACCATGAAATCCTTGCCGATTGTCGGAAAACCCATCTGGTTCACTAATGTCCTTCAGGGAAGAAAATCTGCCACCCTCAGCTGGTCTGGCCTACATGTGACTCCAGACCCACAGCAATGAGGTTGACTCTCAATTGCCCTCTGAAATGGCCTAGCAAGCCACTCACTTGTACAAATCACTACAAAGTCTCAAAGAAATGAAACCAGACAGATCACCTGGCATTGACCTAGGCACCGGAAAAGACAACAGCAGAAACTGCCCTGTCAACCCTGCAATGTCCTCCTCACTAACATCTGGGAATTAGTGCCAAAATTGGGAGAGCTGTCTCACAGACTAGTTAAGCAACAGCCTGACATAGTCATACTCACAGACTCATACCTTACAGACAATGTCCCAGACATCACCATCCCTGGATATGTCCTGTTCCACCAGCAGAACAGACCCAGCAGAGGGGGTGGCACAGTGGTATACAGTTGGGAAGGAGTTGCTGTAGGAGTCCTCAACATTGACTCCGGACCCCATGAAGTCTCATGGCTTCAAGTTAAACATGGGCAAAGAAACCTCCTGCTGATCACCACATACTGTCCTCCCTCAGCTGATGAGTCAGTACTTCTCAATGTTGAACAACACTTAGAGGAAGCACTGAGGATGGCAAGGGCACAAATTGTACTCTGGTTGGGGGATCTCAATGTCCACCACCAAGAGTGGCTCGGCAGCAGTACTACTGATTGAGCTGGTCGGGTCCTAAAGGACATAGTTGCTAGACTGGGTCTGTGGCAGGTGGTGAGGGAACCAACAAGAGGGAAAAGCATACTTGACTCATCCTTACTAATCTGCAAGCTGCAATTGCATCTGTCCACGACAGTATCGGTAAGAGTGACCATCGCACAGACCTTGTGGAGACAAAGTGCCGCCTTCACATTGAGAATAATCTCCATCATGTTGTGTGGCACTGTCACTGTGCTAAATGGGACAGACTTCGCACAGATTTAGCAACTCAAGACTGGGCATCCATGAGGCACTGTGGGCCATCAACAGCAGCAGAATTATATTCCAGCACAATCTGTAACCTCATGGACCAGTATATCCCCTAGTCAACCATTACCATTAAGCCAGGGGCTCAACCCTAGTTCAATGGAGAGTGCAGGAGGGCATGCCAGGAGCAGCACCAGGCATACCTGAGGATGAGGTATCAACCTGGCGAAGCCATCAAACAGGACTCCTTGCATGCAAAGCAGCAAGTTATAGACAGAGCTAAGCAATCCCACAACCAACAGATCAGATCTAAACTCTGCAGTCCTGCCATATCCAGTCGTGAATGGTGGTGGACAATTAAACAACTCTGGAGGAGGTGGTTCCACAAATATCCCCATCCCCAATGATGGAAGAGCCCAGCAAAT